TCAATGACCAAGTCTGATTGTGGGTTCTATTATGCCGTCCAATTCATGTAAATTAATATAATATTAAGTTCACTTGAATAGGGATGCTTGACATTTTTTAAACCTATTCAACCACTTAGATTCAGTTTGAACAGGAAATTATGCTTATTACTTTGTTCCACTGCGGTCATGCTTTTTCGACACCAAGATGGGTCTAGTTGACAAAAGAAAAGTTCATTCTTGCCAGCAATGTTGTTTTTTTGGGAATGAATATGAATTCATTATTTCTTTTCACTGTTTCTTTGTTAGGCAGTACAGGTTTTAAGATGGATAAGGAAAGCTGTGAAGCGAGACTGGCAGACTGGCCACACAGCAAAGCACTACAGTGGGTGTGTTGAAACCCTGGATGTGCACAAGGACTCAGCCATTGGTACACACTGAGACCCAGCTACCAGGGTTGCCCCGGTTATTAATTCCTCTTTAAAACCCACTTTTTTTCCTAATATCTGACCTGAATGAGCCCTTTTCAGGTTGGAGAAAACAGTGCAGTGGATTAGCTTGAGTCTTGGATGCAGGAAAGTCTTTCTGCTTTAGTTACCTTTGTTCTATCTGCAGTTCATACAGTACATAATCCAGAATGCCTCACTTTAATCAGTCTATTTAATTTATTATTAAAAGTTTGGACAATTTAAAGGGGAAAACGGAAAAAAGTGCTTATTTTTGTAAGAGACGATGCCTTGCATACTTTCTGTCTGTTGAATCTAAACTGCAGGAAAAACTCAAAAACTAAAACCATATTCCAATTCAATTCAATTCATTAATTTTAACTTTGTATAGCGCCAATTCATACACCAGAAGTTATCTCAAGACACTTTTCAAATAGAAGCAGGTCTAGACCAAACTCCTTTTAACATTTACAGAGACCCAACAGTACCACCATGAGCAAGCACTTGCTGCCTTTTAACAGGCAGAAACCTAGGACAGAACCTTCGGCTCTAGGTGGATGGTCATCTGCCATATCATACCATTGCATCATATTAATGCAACTGTGCATCTTTCTGAGGTGGAAACTGATGGATAAGTCGTTCTGGAAGAGAATGGCAGCTTAAATGAAAATATATTAATTTCCATATTAAATAGTTTGAGTATTTTTTGACTTTGGAGTTTTCAGTTCAGTCAGACTGTAATGTCACAAAAGAGCTTCTTTCATAAAAAAAAACTGGTTTTATCTCTAGTTTTTAAACTGCGTTTTTAACAGAATGAGACTGTATTGTCACAAAACAGCTTATTTTAGTTAAAAAACACAGTTTTAGTGGTTTTAGGTCTTGTTTTTTAACTGGTCTGAGTTTTCAGCTCAGCCACACGGTAATGTTACAGAAAAGCTTTGTTTGCTGAAAAAACTGTTTTAGTGGATTTAGCTCTGCTTTTGTAACTGGATTGAGTTTTAAGCTCAATTAGACTGTACTGTCATGAAACAGTTTCTTTTGCTTAAGAAACATAGTTTTGGTTGTTTTAGCTCTGCGTTTGTTACTGGACTGAGTTTACGATTTATTAAGACTTTATTGTAACAAAACAACTTTCTTGGTCAAAAAATACAGTTTTAGTCTAATTTTTTAACTGGACTGAGTTTTCTCAGTCCAGACTCAATGAATTTTGTGACACAATAATGTCACAAAATTCTATTTCTTAAGAAATTGAGTGCACGGAACACTTCCACTGAGTCCAGTTTAAACTACTAGTAAAACTACAGTTTTTTGACCAAAAGAAGCATTTTTTTTGACACTACAGTCTGATTGAACTAAAAAAACTCCATCCAGTTAAAAAAGTTGACGTAGAAACAGCTAAAACTGTGTTTTTTGACCAAATAACGTAGTTTTGTAACAGTACAGTTTGACTGAGTTCAAAACTCTGCTTACAAAAATGCATCCAAAACCACTAAAACTGTATTATTTGACCAATAGAAGGTGTTTTGTGACATTTCAATTACTGCATTCAGTCCAGTCCATGAGGAGGAACCACAGTAGATGGAAAATGATTAATTTGTCGTGGAAGAAAGCACAGTAATTTGATAAAACTACTAACTTGTTGCTTTCCAACTTTCCAAGTCAAAATATTTAATAAACCCAAAATAATGCAGAATTAATTCTCTTTATTTTACATAAATTACACTTCTGCTTGCCCAATTATATCCTCTTCATATACATGTATGCATAAACATTTATTCCACACAAAACTGTTAAATGCCAAGTCAAGTCAAGTTGATCATCATGCTGGCCAGTATAAAACAATAATTAAAGAACTACAAATGTGTCTTACCATAATTTTTTGAAACAATGTATTACTTTACATTGATTAAGTCATTAGTTCTGCAACAATATTTAACAGCTGTAATTCAATGAACTAAAAAAAACTCAGTCCAGTTAAAAAAGTAGAGGTAGAAACAACTAAAATTGTGTTTTTTTTTACCAAATGAAGTAGTTTTGTAACAATACAGTCTCACTCTGTTGAAAACTCACTCTGGTTGAAGTAAAAACCTCTAAAATGTATTTTTTAAAGCAACAGAAGCTGTTTTGTGACACTACAGTCTGACTGAATTGAAAACCCAGTCCAAAAAAAAAAAAAAGGTAGAAAACCACCACAACTGTGTTTTTTTAAGCAATACTGCACAGTTACCACTGTAGTGCCACTTTTTATCCACTAGATATCACTGTTGTCACTCATATGACTTCTGGTGACACACTAGTGTGTGTGAATACAGTACCATTCAAATCTAGAGGCCTGTTTTGTGAAGAAGACTGAAAGAGGAGAGAAGGAGTGGTGGAGTTTTTTGTGAAGAGCCTGACTTGAATGACCTGAGCTACTATTTTGCTTCTATAGATTAATTCCGATTTCTCTTTTTATTTTCATCTCTTGTCAACAATGTCCGCTCTAAACTTCATTATTACTCTTTCATAATCAGTGAATGATTATTTTAAGACAGAAATGTATGTAGCTACTTTAGATTTTTTATTTTTTATTTTTTTTCCTCATCACATGAAAGGACTTTGTCCTAATTTCTTTGCCTTTATATATAGTCATGTAACCCACATACTTTTGCCTCAGGACAAATATGAGCAATGGGCTGCTCTTCACGTCCCTCTATGCATTGTGCTCTGTCGCCTTCAATACTGTGAACACAGTAGACTGTACAAGACAGCCTTATTATATCTTGCCTGGTGCTCCAGATACCAATCGGTATTGTGGATACTATATCCATATACTATACTATTGTGGCCCCAGTTTTTGCTGCATATCAGTTTGTTGCCATTTATTAAACATATCTATATTAATATCAATGAAATGATAAAAAGGTTACTAGATTTTGACACATATGGCCTTTCCACAAGACAGGCTTTAAGATTAGGTAATGATGCCTTTTAAGGCTATTAGTATTTAGTTGACATTTTACTTCAGTGGTGCATATTCATGAACCAATTACTGTAATGCAGAGTGAATGTGGGGCTTTGTGTGGTTATGGCAAAAGTGAAAATATTTAAATTTGAAATGAAATCACTTTGTGTACTTTTACTTCAAAATCAAAATGTAAAGTACATCGTAGCAAAGCAAAAACAATTGAAATAGAGCACACTGGCTTTAGCCCAATAGCTGTCTGCAATTTCCTGCTACATAGGGTTGATGTGGTAAGATTATGTGAAAATAAAATAAATAAAATCAGCCTCTCGCTCTTGTTTTACTAAAAATAGAGTGACTAGTGAAAATGTTCACTGCCATTTTCATTGATTTTGTAGCTTTAATGTACATGTATTTAACTCCAGATTTACAAAGGCAGCAGCTCATTACACATTACACGACATTACACGACATGCAGCAGCTCATTACACATTACACGACATTACACGACATGCAGCAAAGGGCCGCAGGTTGGGCTCAAACCTGGGCCGCTGCATATATGGGTCGCCAGCTCTACCGACTGAGCTAACCCGCACCCAAACTGTTAGGTTTTTTAATGTATGTAGCCTAATAATGCTTATTTCACCCCATGTCCACAATTTATATATTGTTGGTCATTTTAATTTAATATTCAGACTTTCCTCTCCTCTTTTCTGTTTAATTCTACACTGAGGAAGTCCGTGGTATATTTATAATTGATAATCAATTGTATGCACAGGCTGCTAAGTGCTGTCTGTGGAAAAGGAATTTATTGTTGGTTTGGACATCATGTTGCTGATTTTCTTCCACAATACTGTTCGCTGACATTTAATGCAATTTATTTTAGAGCAGTTTAACTGCCCCACTTTTTTACTTTTAGCCAAGTACATTTTTACAGTACTTGTGCATAACTAATATGTATTTAAAGTAACAGTACTTTTATTTGAGTACAATATTCTTTCCATCCACAGACATTGGTCTCTTCTCTATAAATCTCATTTTCCCTCAGCATTTTAGCATGGCACAATGAATAGAGCCTTTAACAGCTCATGGTATAAGGACCCATTAATTACTACAATTTGGTGGAAGAGGGATTCAAAATTTTGTTGTTTCTCCACCAAGTGAACCTACAATCTTTAAATCACAGTCAGGCTTTTGTTACTGAAAAATGCTTACTGTAGAGGCTGACATAAACTCCATTATAATACTAATGCTGATAATTGGGGGCAGGTGTGACATCACCTGTTTGTCTATTGTTGCTGTAAGTAGTAACAGGCTACCAAAATATGCATTAGCATTAGAATTTCCGAAAAGTTTTGCAACTACATACAAATAGATGGTTCTACTCCACAATAATGTATTGTTGTAAAAGACAATGAAATGTAAGTCAGATAAGACATTAATATTCTCTTAAGTAGTCCATTATATTCAAATGTTATAATCGAACGTTATCGTTCAATTCGATTGTGTGGACCTATAGTTACAGCCATTTGTCACTGATTAGCTTTATTATTAATGCTAATCGATATGTTAGTATCCTCTGTGTTATGTATTTGTAGTGACACACTTAAAAAGAAGCACCGGACAGAGAATAACATTTCATATTACTTTACTGTGTTCATGCATTTCACACCTTGAAATGCACGAACAATCTGTTGTGTTCTCTTTTCAAGTAGACAGCAGATACATAGTGCCACCTATTGGCCAGGAATAGGATTAGCTTTCAACAAGTGGGGTAATATCAAAATGCTTTCAAAACATCAAACTTCACCTAGAACAAAAAGTACAGTCCCTCTGTGTGTTTTTTATGAACAAACTTTTGAGGGCATACATGTCTAATAGATACTGAAAATGGTATAACGTGTCAAATCCAATACTCAGTTGTATCTGTTGAAAAGCAACTTACAAGATTTGGTCAAAATTGATGAGTTTAATACAAATTAGTTATACAAGAGGTGAAGTGAACAGAAATAATTTTCACATTTCTCTTACTGGTTGACATGTTTGGGAGCCATTCCATCATAACTTGATTGATTGAGTGATTGATTACTTGATTATAACACCATGAAAATGTCATGGTAATTACCATAAGTGGTCATTGCAAAAAATGATATGAGTCAACAAGGAAAATGAAAGCAGCTTCACTTTACCTTAACATCTTGGGCATTTATCATGTTGTGGGAGAAGCTTTTTAGCTAACCAACAAGCTTCTAACTAGCAGCACAAATAACAGCATCCTGGTGAAAGAAAATAGCGGAAGTGAATTATTAAAAGCATACACTATACATAACAAGAACCACATTAATACTGCAGTTAATACTGTTAATATTATTCATATTACTATCATTATCAAACACTAAACTACAGCCAGGCACATAGCTTCAGGCTGACAAGTTCATCTGAAAGAAAAAACTCAAAGTGACATGCAAACGTTCTCTTCATCGTCCTCGTTTCCATTCTTCATGTCTTTCTTGCCATCATCAGTGCAGTATATTTATTAAAAGTAAGGTTTTTGTTCACAGTTTCTTGTCCACCTCATAGCAGTGAGAGCTCCTGTTGGCTCAGGTATCAGTATCAGCAGCTGCCATTGGCTGAGCATGGAGAGCTCTGGTTGGTTCTCAGTCTGTTTGGCACATCATCCAGCTGGCTTCAGACTCTGGTGATAAAACCTGCATGTGCACGTGCAAATGTTAGGGTAGAAGTGTGTTCTGCGTGTTATAAAGTATGTCATAATGTGTCAGTGTGTACTGATGTACTGTACAGGTGATTAGGGTCTATGTTGCTGTAACGATCTGCTGACCTATGAGAGGAATGGGCCTTATTTTTCAAATATATTTGAACTACTATATTTTTATGAAAATAGGGCGCTCTACAACTAATTTAAGTCCTCCTCAGCATTGTATCATGTTATTCTGTGGCACTGGAGAAGCATTGTTAAGTCTGAGAAAATAACCCTGACAATGTGGATAAAAATGGCAGGGAGATAGAGAAAGAGGACAGTCCACCAGGTTCCAGAGATCAACAGTAACAGTCGTATTGGTTTGAAAAAATCCAGGTTATTCTAAAGCTTTTCAAACTATCCCAACCACTGTTGAAAAGTATTAAATTATGTTTTTTGATGAGGCTACACATTTATAACACAAAATCTGTTTCAAACTAGGGGTATATATAGAGTTTGATAGATGCAGGCATTTTCCAGCCAGGAAAGGTCAATAGAAACAACACTAATTACACTATGGGAACTGTAGGATTCTGTGTTTTTGGAACTTGACCCATATTGGGGACTAAAACTCAAGCAGGGTACATGAGTTTCCCAACTTTGTGAAAGTGCAGCACGAAATTACTATTATCAAGTAGTATCTCTACCAACCACTACCTGGGTTATATATGGGTCCAGTGTTTTTCTTCTGTGTCTGACAATATTCTAGGTAATATCTTCCAAAATGAATGCATTAACTGTAATGCTGTTGTTACCACTGGATAATAAGACATTTGTTTATTGACTTAACATCATCTATAATTGCTATAATAAACTTTTGCTATACCCTACTGACTATCATATGATCAAAGTTGTGTGCTTCACAGACAAAACAATAAGTTTGAATGTTAAGATATTGCCTGTAATAAGAACAAAATGTAAACTAGTAAGTAAAAGTCATTTACAATAATACTTAAGTTAAGACACTACAAAACCTATTAATATGATACTGTACAACTTGTAAGCACAGTAGTGCTACCAAGAACCAAATGCTAACTAATCAAATTAAATACAGTAGATTGAGTACAGTAGCATATTTGTGTCTGAATACAGTTAATGTGTTCTAGATTTAGTTTCGCCATTTAATCTGTGAGTGGTGTAGTAAATTTCATAAAAGCCACTAGATGTAGGATTTTTTAATGTTATGTGTTTCAAACTATTGTGAATTTTTTTTAGTTGAAAAACTAGTCTCCTCAAATTTACATTTATATACAACTAATTTGCAACAGCAAATACGCTTTGAGCACTGTCGTGGATTGTCGACCAAATGTAATTTTCGGTTACCATAACGAGGAAAATTTGTTAGTTAACATAGCTGGCAAGTCACAAAAATGCTAATACTGAACGTAACTATTTATTTCTTGTGACTACAGCATTATTCAGCTTTTTAATGGTTATAGTTAGGTAAAGACTGTGGCGTGTTTTAATACAGAAAAAGCAGCAGTAATTTGAGACATAAGATTTTTTAATAACATTTAACTGATATCACAATCTTTCCCTAACCTTAAAAAGTGCTTTTGTTGCCTAAGACTAAGCACAGGCAGCAATTTCATTGCCATCATAATGTAAATATGAATACAATTTAGTAATATACAAACGTAATTTCTAGGAGACACTGGTACAATTTATGTGTTGCTCTCAAACTAGTCAGTGTCCTTAGGTTGCATTTGTTTTTTTGAAGCTACCACTAGGTGTCAGAAATGTTGACCAAAGTCTGATGTGTTCCAATGGATTCAAAATAAAAGTAATAAAAGTGTAAATATTTTGTTTTTGCCCATCCCTGTGAAGTGCATGTTACCTAATACAGTACTAGTGGCTTTGTTTATGTTCTGTTGTACTAGTGTTTCTCTTTATGTGAATGTGTTGTGTGTGTGTGTGTGTGTGTGTATGCGTGTGCCAGTCCATGCATCTCTTGGGTCTGGTAAAAGACTCTACTAATCAGGGATTTTCAGGCAGAAATAAGGAAATCAATTAGGAACAATAACATCATTATCATTATCTTCTATTACACAATTACTATTGTTTTATTATTTCATGGATGTGATTTTTCAGGACGACTGTTTTTGTTCATAGCTCTTGCACTCACTTTAACAAAGACTGTTTACAGTAGTTACACAATTCTTAATCACATCCCTGATTAATGTTATTGCATTAGGTCAGCATCACTATTGTCCTTATTTTCTATACAAGAAGAGCCTCCATGGCAAAAATCTAAGAAACAATGATGTGTTTGTTTAGAAAACTGTCAACTGTGCTTGATTGTTTTTTATGAATTTGTAAATCATCAGCCATCTTTCTCACTGAGTGTCAAGTGATTCACTTTGTAGGTGGGCAGATCTTTGCTGAAGCCTGGCAGCCAAGTGGTTGGAGGACAACATCTATCCAGTCTATCTAGGTAAATTGTTAAAGAGAAAGATCTGGAGTCCTCAAAGAGATATGATTGACTAAGCTCCAGATTGAAAATCGGGGAAGATCACTCATGGTGAGTGGCCACCGAACAAGATGACAAACATTTCCATTCACTTTCAGTGGGGAAGGGAGGATGTGTCTCCATTGGCTATAAGGCACTGGCTTGGGCGTGGTCAGGAAAGATCAGTCATGCCAAGGCTCATGGGTAATCCTGGACGGAGGTAAGCCACCGGGACACGGCCATTCTCACTGGTTGATCCTGTGATGGATAGACGAGCTTTGGAGCGCATTGCATCTGTGAACTTCATCTGTACAAGGGAAAACATTTTTACCATGTTTTAATCATTAACACCAAAAACCAAACTACATAGACAGCTGCTTCTGGTAGACTCCCTGAAAATGAACTTTGAAGGATTGGCTCATTATTTTGGGAAATATTTGCTATAAAATTATCTTTGTTTCCATAATCTATATAAAAAGATTGACATCAGTCTCATTTCTGTCAGAAAAGCAATTTTACACTTTTTTTCCTACTATTTATCCATCTATCCAACAATCCAACACTTCTGTGTACTGTCGTCTGTGGTTATAGAATATATTGCCAGATACAGTCCACACACACAGGGGAAGATAAATAGATTATTATATTAGGTTGTAGATGTGATGTAAAATGTATTTCCATCCAGCAAACTGATAAAACTGAAACTACATGTTCTACATGCGAAATAAGACATCTATAAGCTAAGCTTCTTCTCTGACAATTCTGCTCTAGACTTCTATCTTTTAAAAAAAGGAAATTGCAATCGGTATATACGATAAAGTGCAAAGAAACTATTGACAAAGTTGCACATATTCACTGTAGCCAGCTGTTGAAATTGTTCCAGTGTACAACACCTCCCCTAATACCACAAATTGCTGTTTTTATATTTCTTTTTATGTTATTAAACAAATTAAATACATTAACTATGTAAATTAGTGAGCTTTTTAGTTGCAGGTAAGAATATTATTCTCTCTGCTTGCAGTCTTTATACTTAGGCTAACCATGTCTTGACTCTGACTCTGTACTTAACACACAGATGTGCGTTTTTTATCCATCTCAGTCTAAAAAGACGGCATAAAAGCATATTTCCTAAAACTATACCTTGAAATGATAAGCAACCCAATGCAATAAAAAATAAATGGTAAATGG